AAGATTAGAAGAACTGAATGTATTCTCTCTTGAGAAGAGGAGATTAAGGGGGGATATGATCTCCATGTATAATACATAAGGGGGGATATGATCACCATGTATAATACATAAGGGGGGATATGATCTCCATGTATAATACATAAGGGGGGATATGATCTCCATGTATAATACATAAGGAAGGATATGATCTCCATGTATAATACATAAGGGGGGATATGATCTCCATGTATAATACATAAGGGGGGATATGATCTCCATGTATAATACATAAGGGGGGATATGATCTCCATGTATAATACATAAGGGGGATATGATCTCCATGTATAATACTTAAGAAGGGGATATGATCTCCATGTATAATACATAAGGGGGGATATGATCTCCATGTATAATACATAAGGGGGGGGGGAATATGATCTCCATGTATAATACATAAGGGGGGATATGATCTCCATGTATAATACATAAGGGGGGATATGATCTCCATGTATAATACATAAGGGGGGATATGATCTCCATGTATAATACATAAGGGGGGATATGATCTCCATGTATAATACATAAGGGGGGATATGATCTCCATGTATAATACATAAGGGGGGATATGATCTCCATGTATAATATATAAGGGGGGGATATGATCTCCATGTATAATACATAGTGGGGGGATATGATCTCCACGTATAATACATAAGGGGGGGATATGATCTCCATGTATAATACATAAGGGGGGATATGATCTCCATGTATAATACATAAGGGGGGATATGATCTCCATGTATAATACATAAGGGGGATATGATCTCCATGTATAATACATAAGGGGGATATGATCACCATGTATAATACATAAGGGGGGATATGATCTCCATGTATAATATATAAGGGGGATATGATCACCATGTATAATACATAAGGGGGGTTATGATCTCAATGTATAAATACATAAGGGGGATATGATCTCCATGTATAATACATAAGGGGGGGAGATGATCTCCACGTATAATACATAAGGGGGGATATGATCTCCATGTATAATACATAAGGGGGGATATGATCTCCATGTATAATACATAAGGGGGGGGATATGATCTCCATGTATAATACATAAGGGGGGGTATGATCTCCATGTATAATACATAAGGGGGATATGATCACCATGTATAATACATAAGGGGGGATATGATCACCATGTATAATACATAAGGGGGGGATATGATCTCCATGTATAATACATAAGGGGGATATGATCTCCATGTATAATACATAAGGGGGGATATGATCTCCATGTATAATACATAAGGGGGGATATGATCTCCATGTATAATACATAAGGGGGGATATGATCACCATGTATAATAGATAAGGGGGGGGGTATGATCTCCATGTATAAATACATCAGTGGATCATATAGTGAACTCGGTGTAGAGTTATTCCCCCTGAGGTCATCACAGAGGACAAGGGGGCGCTCTTTACGTCTGGAGGAAAAGAAATTTAATCTCCAAACACGGAAAGGTTTCTTCACAGTGAGAGCTGTGAGAATGTGGAATAGACTCCCTCCAGAGTTGGTTGTGGCCGGCTCAGTGGATTGCTGTAGGAAAGTCCTGGATTCTTTCTTGGATACACAAGAAGTAAAAGTGTTAAATATTTGGGCTGTTAACATGGAAGCCTTGTACCAATTGGTTCCCTGGTGTGCTAAGTGGATTCAATATGCAGTTTGTTTTTTTGTCTGTCTTTTTACTTGACGTCTTTTGTAATGCGACACCCATTTTATATTATTATATAATTTTTATTTATTTATTTATTTTCAGGATCGGCCGACTGACAGGGCGGCTTCCTCGAGATTTAGCTGATGAGGTCGTAGGATCTGTGCTGGACTGTTTCAGGTAATGGAAAAAGTTTAAAGAGGACCTGTCCTGCATTTAGTGGCAGCAGCCATTTTGAAGGCTTAAAGTGGTTGTAAACCTCAGACATGAAATATGAACAAAGCATATCCCTCTATAGTGTGTACTTGTCTCAATTAAAAGCACGAATTGTCATTTCTATCTGCTCCTTCCTCTGATATCAGCATGAATCACTTCTGAGAAGTTTTCCTGACAGAGAAGGAAATGGTGACAGAGGAAGGACCTTCAGCAGATTGACAGCCTCAGCTCTGTTTCTGTGTGCTTTGTGGAGGGGGGGGGGGGGTGTCCCTTCCTTGCAATCAGCTCTCGGAGCTCTCCTCACCTAGCCCTTCAGTGTAACGTCAGCTCCCCGCCCCCTTTTTTTTGAACTCTCAGACAAGCTTTAAAACTTCAGCACTTTGAGCAGATGTGGAAAAGTGAAGACTGCAGGTAAACAGATACAACTTATATAGGAGGAATGGTTTAAATCTCTGTGTATCATCTCAGGCCAGTCACTTCACTGGGGTATATGTAAGGTTTTACAACCACTTTAACCTTCGTTTACAGCAATAGTAACCACTGTCCTCCAGAAGGATTTACCCCTTTCTTGACCAGGCCATTTTTTACTTTGTTGCACTGCTTTCATCTAATTGACAATTGTGCGGTCGTGCAATGCTCTACCTAAACAAATTTTAGATCATTTGTTCACACATGGAGAGCTTTATTCTGGTAGTATTTGATCACCAACATGTGGGACCGCCATGGAATAAGCCTTGCCACAAAGCTCAAAGTCAAGCAGTAGTGCTAACTACACTGATGTGTGTGAGATTTGGACTTTATACAGGAGGCATGCTAGGCATTTGAACCACTTCCACAAGACCTGCCTCCACAGACTTCTGAGGATCTGTTGGTAGGGCAAGGTGCCAGACACAGAAGTCCTCTCCAAACCAGGCCTGCCATGAATTCACACCCTGCTGATGAAAGCCCCGGCATGCTGGGCCGGCCATGTTGCAAGTATGCCAGACCACCGCATCCCTAAACACCTCCTCTATGGTGAGTTGTCTCAAGGAAAGCGATCGCACGGAGGACAAAGGAAGTGATACAAAGACACATTGAAAGCCTCCTTCAAGTCCCTGGATATTGGCATCACCTCCTGGGAAACCCTGGCACATGATCGATCGACATGGTGCACGTTGATCCACCAAGGCTACCAGGAGAGAACAACAACCACAGCACAAGAGAAGCGAGCATGCCGCAAAGCCAGAGCTGCAAATGCTGCAACAGTGGTGCCCACATATGTCTGCCCCGACATGTGGCAGAACATTTCATGCCCGTGTAGGCCTTATCAGCCACCTACAGACACACGGTAGACAACCCACTACCTGTTAGATGTCAAGGTCCTCTTCGAACATGATGGACGAGCATCATTTGATGACCACTGGGTTTTTTATTTTTTTGCAATATAAACGAAAAAAGACCAACAATTTTGAAAAAAAAAAAAACCCCAAACAATATTTTTTACTTTCTGTTCTAAAACACGTCCAATAAAAATGTAATAAAAAAAAAAAAAAAATCTAATTTCTTCTTAAATTTTGGCCAAAATGTATTCTGCTACATGTCTTTGATTAAAAAAAACAAATAAGTGTATATTAATTGATTTGTGCAAAAGTTATGGTGTCTACAAGCTATGGTATGTATACTGGAATTTTTATTTATTTATTTTTATACTACTAATGGCATTAATCAGCTACTTATAACGGGACTGCGATACTGCGGCGGGCAATCTGACACTAACTGATGCTGGGGGGAACTGACTAACTGCCACTGACATCCCCCACTAACTGCCACTGCATCTTTAAATTCCAGAGCACATGCTGTGGTCAGCAACAGTATTTCAGGAGAGGAGATGGGATACAGGGATGAGCAGAGTCCTCCATGGATTATGGATTTAAAGCTGCTCTCATTCCGCTGTAACTTTTTAGAGAGAAACAAAAGCCTATCAGTTTCTGTTTAAGGAGAAGGCAATGTTTACTCAGGCTGGTCAAAAAATGTTGTATGGATTTGCATGGCAGTTACAAGGACACCTGTAGACCTGTGCGGACTTGTGCTCTTTATTCCTTGACTTCACATTAGGTTTTAGTTTGGAAGACGTAACATCTGTTAGTTGCCGTCTGAATGTGAGCTTTCTGACCTGACAGCTGCAAGTTTAGAGGTTCAGCATTATGAACAAATCATTGAGAAGATTCATTGTGAAGACAGTGGGGTTGATTTACTAAAGGCAAATAGGCTGTGCACTTTGCAAAGTGCTGTTGCACGCCCCAAGTGCAGTTGCTCCAGAGCTTGGTAAATTAGATAAAGCTACACTTTACAAAGAATACCCAATCAGGTGCATAAAAAGAGAATTTTTACCTTTACATTTTGTGGGATTTTTAAGGCAACCTTGATATATTATTATTATTATTATTATACAGTATTTATAAAGCGCCAATAGTTCGCTCAGCGCTGTACATTACAAAGGGGGACAGAACATGTGACAGAACAATACCAATACAATGCAAAACATGAGGGATCGAGGGCCCTGCTCTTTCCAGCTTACAATCTAGGAGGGAGGGGATGGTGGCACAGGAGGAGATAGCTGTGGGGGATGGAGTGGTAGGAAGAGTGGAGGAGGTCGGCAAGTTAGCAGGGGGTGGGGTAGGCTTCCCTGAAGAGATGGGTTTTCAGGGTGCGCCTAAAGGAGAGGAGAGTAAGTGATAATCTGATGGGTTGGGGCAGGGAGTTCCAGAGGATGGGTGACACCCTGGAGAAGTCCTGGAGGCGGGCATGGGAGGAGGAGACCAGGGAACTAGAGAGAAGGAGGTCTTGTGAGGAGCGGAGTGTGAGTGTTGGGTGGTACTTGGATATTAGGTCAGTGATGTAGTTGGGGGCAGTATGGTGGACGGCTTTGTGCATCAGTGTTAGGATTTTGAATTTGATCCGTTGCGCAATCGGAAGCCAGTGGAGGGATTGGCAGAGGGGGGTGGCGGAGATGGAGCGGTTGGAAAGGTGAATGAGTCTGGCAGCCGTATTCAGGATGGACTGAAGCGGGGATAGCCAGCAGCGAGGCAGGCCAGTGAGGAGGGAGTTGCAGTAGTCGAGTCGTGATATGATGAGGGAGTGGATGAGCTGTTTAGTGGTTTCTGGGGTTAGGAACGTGCGGATTTTGGCAATGTTGCGGAGGTGGAGTCTGCATGTTGCGGAGGTGGAGTCTGCATGTTGCGGAGGTGGAGTCTGCATGAGTTTGTTAAAGATTGGACTTGGGGCTGGAAGGATAGGTTGGAGTCCAGAATGACACCAAGTACTCTGGCCTGCGGGGCGGGTTTGATGGTGGCATTGTTGGATGTGATGGAGAAGTCAATGGAGGGTGGTGTCCGGGCTGGGGGGAAGACAAAAATACAGAGATATACAGAGAAACCACTTGTTAAAAAGAGCAACATTTTATTTTAGCAATTTTTTTGGGTTTTGACACATTGATGTATATCAGATAGGCAATGCATACTGACAAAACTTAAAAAATCCCACAGAATGTAAAAATTCCCTGTGTATGGAAATAGGGATGATGGCAACCACACCCTAAGCTACACTGATTGATCTTTTACCCGGTGCAGGGAAAATAAAAAAGCATTTTTGCTTGCAAATGATTGGATAATTTACTTATGCAGACCACAGACGGGTCGTTTATCGGCCGAATTTTCGTCCGCACGAACAATCGGCCGATATTCATGCCGTTAGTGGGGCCAGCCCGTCGGCTGTTTTTCGCGGATCTTCTCATTTATTTTTATCGTTAATGCTGGAAAATCCATGAAAAACGGCCGTTTTTTCGTGGACATTGGTGGCAGCATCGGCAATGGGGCTGGCTGATGAATGGCCCGTCTATGGCCTGCATAAGCTCTGGAGCAACTGCTGTTTGCAAAGTACATAGTCTTTTGCCTCAATTAAATCAACCCCAAAGACAAAAAGGTACACCAGCCTTGTGCATTATTTAAGTTACCATATAGTGTATAAATCACAAGTGGATATTCTCACAAACCAAGCTCCCCCACGACAACCCCACAACAACCCCCCCCCTGAGTGAAAGGCAATTAAACATGAGGCCGGAGTAGCTGGAAGGCAGCTTAAAGGGATCCTTCCTCTGTACAAGCTCATCTATGCTAGCAGGAATTGTCCAAATAAATTCAATAAAAAGTGGAATTGCTGATTTGGTGTGCAGGGCATTACTGTTCGACTTATTGATCCTGTTCCACTCCCCTGGGTGATCCTTGCTACAGATTTTCCTTGCCTTCACCGTTCCCTCTCTATCCCTCCAGCCCTTCCCCTCTTTTGCCCGTTTCCACCCCCTTTCCCATGCCTTCCTCCATTACCCCGCTTCGTACCTTTTCTCTTTTTCCACACGGGATGTTAGTACTGCTCGTGATAGGAGATTGTTCTGCAGATATTGATGTGCAATTGTTGAACTTACACTACCACATGTTCATTATTACTGTCATCTTTAGATACCATACCACTGATTTGCTGACTGTACGTTACTTTATGTACTTGTTTTGTACATTTTGCAAACTTTGCTAATGCGTTTCCAGGGTTATACCCTCTTCCTCTGAGCTGAGGAGCTGAGAGTATAACCCTGGAAACACATTGGGGTAGATTTACTAAATTTGGAGAGTGCAAACTCTGGTGCAGCTCAGCATAGAAACCAATCCGCTTCCAGGTTTTTTTTTTTTTTTTTGCTAAGTCTTAATTGAACAAGCTGAAGTTAGAAGCTGATTGGCTGATTACAGATTTAGTAAATCGACCCCGTTAGCTTCTGCTTCTGTTATGTCATCTACACCCAGGGGCGGACTGACCATTTCTAAACTTGGGCACTGCCCAAGGGCTCGGGGTCAGTAGGGGGCCCCATGAGATGCCCCTGGTACCTTTTTCATAGGCTTTTTTGAGTTTGGGCAAGGACACAGGGGCCCCATGATCCCCTATTGTCCGGGGGCCCCATGAGTTGTCAGTCCGCCCCTGTCTACACCTGCCTTGAGTACTGTCCGAGGTGGTTGTTAAAGATGGTTTCTACCTCATGTTTAATTGCTGTTATTATTATTATACAGGATTTATATGGCGCCAACAGTTTGCTCAGCGCTTTACAATATAACGGGAGACAATACAGCAACAATACAGTTCAAATCAAGAGGGTTAGGAGGGCCCTGATCCTGGGAGCTTACAATCTAAGAGGGAAGGGACTCGGCTCGGTTTTTGAGTATATTCACTTGTGTTGTATACAGTAATTGGTATCTTAGGTAATACACAAGGCTGATGCACCCCCTTACTTTGTCTTTGAGCATCTTCCACTGACCCCCCCCCCCCCCCCCTAGACTTGAGCGCTGAAGTGGTCTTTTTTGTTTTTTTATGAGTTTTTGTGAAGAATCTACCTCCTCTCATGGAAGATAGGGGGCAGACACAATGGGGTTGATGTGCTAAAAATGGGGAGTGTAAACTCTGGTGCAAGCTGTGCATGGGAGCCAATCAGCTTCTAACTTCAGCTTTTTCAGTTAATTTGACAAAAAAAATGGAAGCTGATTGGTTTGTAGGCAGAGTTGCATCAACGTGTGCTCTCTCCAGTTTTTTAGTAATTCAACCCCATTGTGTTTTGAGGGTTCTACTCTCAGCTCCTCAGCTCAGAGGAAGAGGGTATAACCCTGCAAATGTGTTTGCTTCAGCTTCTGTTATGATGTGATCTATTCCCGCCTTGAAGACTGTTTGAGGTGGTTCTTGAAGCTGGTTTCTTCCTCACAGTTTTTGCAAAATCTCTGCATCTGTGCATGGGAGCCAATCAGCTTCTAACTTCAGTTTGCTCAATTAACCACTTGCCGACTACAGATAGTCGAATGATGGCTTTATTGTGGCTGGCCAGTTCTGGGAGGGCGTCATATGACGTCATCCCAGAACGCGCCCTACCGCGTGCCCCCCTAGAGGCACGCACCCGGCGATCTCCGGGATCGCTGTGTCTTACGGACACAGCTGATCACGTGATGTGGTAAAAGGCCAATCACAACGGCCTTTTACCAAGTGATCAGCCGTTTCCAGTGACACAGCAGATCACTGGTAAATGCAGTTGGCGGTTATCGGCTGCACTTTCCTCACAGCGTGAGGAAAGTACTGCTGATAACCGGCAATTGCCAGAGTAGGGATCGGCACTGATCATCAGGGCACTGATGATCAGTGTCAAGCAGTGCTGCCCATTTGTGCCCAGCAGTGCCACTCACAAGTGCTGCCCAGCAGTGCCACCCATCAGTGCCTAGTAGTGCCACCAGGCAGTGCCCATCAGTGCTACCTATCCGTGTCGCTGATCTGTGCTGCCTATCAGTGCCCATCAGTGCTGCCTATCGGTGTCCATTAGTGCTGCCTAATCAACGCACATCAGTGCTCTTTTTTTGTTTATAGCACAACAAATAAAACACCCAGCGGCAAGTACATACCACCAAAAGAAAGCTCTATTTGTGTGAAAAAAATTATAAAAATGTAATATGGGTACAGTGTTGCATGACTGCGCAATTGTCACTCAAAGTGCGACAGTTCTGATAGCTGAACATTGGCCTGGGCAGGAAGGGGTATAAGTGCCCGGTAGGCAAGTGGTTTTAAGTTTTGACAATACATCCTGGAAGCTGATTGGAGAGTGCAAAATCTGGTGCCGCTCTGCATAGAAACCAATCGGCTTCCAGGCTTTATTGTCAAAGCTGAAATGAACAAGCTGAAGTTAGAAGTTGATTGGCTGCCAGGCACAGCTGCACCAGATTTTGCACTCTCCGGTTTTAGTAAATGAACCCCTATGTGCCTACCGAACTATCACGATTAGGATGCACATTTATATTTCTCCTTTGTTACATGCACTGGCCTGTGCTGCTAGATCTGTGGTTGATGGAGACACAAGATTAAATGTCTGTCTCCTTGAAATCAAATTGTTGAACCAACTTTTCCTTGATTTAACAACTTTTCAGTAGGATGTATTGTGTGGGAGGAAAGAATCACTAGCTCATCTGTGAAAGATTTCAAGACATGATGGAAAATCTCAGCCTGTGATAACAGGTCCTTTGCTCACAGCTTTATAAGGGTGCCCTCACCATACCGAGTGCTGTCATCGCTGGCTTTGTGGATGGAGATCCCCAGGATGACAGTCAATGTCTGATTTATCTATTTCATAACTATTGACCCAAAGCTTGTGCAGTTTTGTTTTTACCTGACTGGTCTTGCTGCTTTTGGTTTCATTGAATCATATTGGCAGTGCTCCTGCTGTGTACTCCAGTGCTGGACTGCCGAGCATCATGGAAAGTAATGAATAGTAATATGAAAAGAGTTGAAACAGAAGCACCACACCACTGATCAGAGGTCCAGATACAACTTTATTCCATTAACCCCCCTGGAGGTATTCCGAGTGTAGCTCGGTGTAAAGTTTCAGTACCAAAAGCGGTAACCCTGAGCTACACTCGGGAATACACTGCAGCGTTGCTCAGGGATCCCTCGAGCACTTACCTTGTCCTGCGCTCCCTCAATGTCCCCCCTGCAGTGTCCCCGGCCATGTCCTCTGACCGATGCTGGCATCCATCTTCTGGGTTCCGTTCCTTGCGAGCGTCGGAGCGTACGGGGGATGGAACCGGTGGGAAATTCAAAATTGTACATTCACTCAATACACTAAAAATCTGATAGTATTACATTCCTGTATCAAACCATTTCACATACATTTTGTCCCGAGTGCTTTGTCCGGCGCCCTGCCTGCATTGTTCTTTCTGCCTGGAAACTGAGAAACGTCCATGGCGTCCAAAAAGCATCCCATTAGGTCAAAAGCAGTTTTAGACCGGCTAGAGAACAGCGATAGTAAATCAGAACCACTTGCAGAATTGAGTGATAATGATTCGTGGGGGAAATTCCTCATCAGACACTGAAAACGATTTTGCGACTGAACTGAGCGATGTGCGAACTTGGCGCTATATTTCACATTTCAGTGTTTTTAGTTTTATTACATTATTGAATTAAATTTATTATTATATTATTATTTTTATGATTATTTATTAAATTATAATTTATGATTTCATGTTTCAAATTTTATCATATCCGGGACTCTTGTTCGGACAGATTTCAGTGAATTCCTAAGAATTACAGGCCTACAATAAAAAAACAACAAATTTCCATTGAAAATAATGTACTGCTTTGAGCACAGAAATATGGACATAATCAGACCGCTAGGGAGGTTAAAGATCAGGGGTACAATTCAAAAAGTACCCAACTCGTTTCAGGAGTCCTTTATCAGGGCTTGACTGGCAACAAAGTGATAAAAAATACAAGTGAACTGGACCTGCAATGGTATTTTTTCCAGTGTGAATTTAAAGCAGAGACCTAATCAGCAGCTTGTTTGGCAGTTGTAATAGTAAGTCCTTCTAGGACTGTGCTTGGCAAAACAA